AAATTACATATCTACAGTTAACTAACAGTGTCAGATCAAAAAAATGAATTTCTGTCTTAGGTTTCCTGTTCAAGTTATTTAATAGCAAAATGCCTTATGCTAGGTATTCAGGAATACATATAACGTTTATTTTATTTGCAAACTTGCTCCTGAGAATATATGAGCTTTCAAAATTAGCATCCATAAATTTTTTAAAAGGAAGTCAAAACTCCTTCAAGCAGGATTAGACAACAGGTGCTGGTCCACACCCTCAGCTATGGTAGTGCTCCTGGCACCTGTGGCAATGCCTGGCAGCAGGCCTGGCAGCTCTGTCTTTTGCTTGGATGAGTGACAGCCTAAGATTCAAAATCATAGCTCGTAACACTATCATTCCTACTTTCAAAATTTCTCCTGTAAAAACTACCTTTTCTTCTGTATGACTTACCAATAAGGAGAAGATATGTAATATTTATATATAAAGGTTATAAACCAAAACAGAATGTTGTCAGCGCCATTTTATCAGTCAGTGGTCTCCTGTGTCCCATCCCTCTGCTCCTCTGAGAGGTAAAAGTTGTGTTATGTTTTGTGTTGATCATTCGCTTGGATGATACAGTTATCATGTGAGTAGGTACCCATAAATATAGTTTAGTTTGCTTATTTTTTAGCTTTATAAGAAACCATATATGAACTTTTCTTAAGTTGTTTTTTCACTCACTTTTTTGGGTAAGATTTATCTATGTTGTTTGTATTTTGCTGTAATTCATTGTTGCTGCCACATAGTGTATCAGTGGGACAATATGCCACAATTCTTTTACCATTCCCCTGTTAATGATACATACCTAGGTGCAGAATTACTGGGTTGCAGAGTATGCAAATTTTCAACCTTAGAAGATCGTGCCACATTGTTTTCTCAAGCGATTATGCCAACTCACAGATGTAGTTCATGAAGAAGTGGGTCAGTAGGAAGCCTTACACTTTGAGAAGGGAGTCGAAGTATCATTATTTCTAGTTTGAGTAAAAAAAGTAAAGAAACTGAAATAAGTTTATAGGTAAATAATAGAGGCACTGTCCCTTATGACAGTATTTATTTTATACGTTGGATTATCATCATCATAAGCACTGTACAGCTGGCATTACTATAGAATTGAAACTGCTTATAGGACTGAGTATTGTATGTGTAGATGGTATGTGTAAAGCTAAGGCCTTGATGTAGTTACATCTGAGTTCTAATTCTGTCACTTCTTAATTTTATTACCTTGGATCCTACTGATCCACTTCCTTCTCAACACTTAATATTATGAGACTTCTTAATTTTTGCCAGTTTATCAGGTGTTAAGTGGTGTCTCAAGTGTGGTCTTAATTTGTGGGCTGGTGATTATTCATGAGTTTAAACATCAAGCAAAACCACTGGCAACATACAGGAATTGAACTTGGGGGCATCTGTTCTGTTTTTAAACAGGCCTGTCTCTATAAATAAGCCTTTTTTGGCATATAGCGTTCCCATAAATGAGACTGTCATTAAGACGTAATTCTTATTCAGAGAATTAATTCACAAATTCCTTTTCTATTCTAGGCCTAAATCATATTGTTTTCAAGTATAAATGGTTCATTATATTTTGTGACCTTTGTTAGTTTTTTTTGTCAAAGTCTACAGTATCTTTTGATAAGCTTTTAAAGTAGTATATTCCCATGAAAAGAGGTTGCTTTTGTGACCCACAGAAATCTTACATTTGAAGAAGGAAGCCAAAGTACAACTATTTCCAGTTTGAGTGAAAAAAGTAAAGAAGAAACTGGAATAAGTTTACAGGTAAATATTTAGACCCTATTATTGATGGTAATATTTGTTTTATACTTTAGATTATTATTTTGTTACAAAGACAATATAGATTTGATTTGTAATTTGATTTTCAAAACTGAAGTTACTTTTTGCTGAGTGTCATATATGTAAATTAATGGTCTTGAAGCTTAGGCCTTGGAGTAGACAGACTTGAGTTCTAATCCTTCCTAAGCCGCTTAGATGTATAATCTCTGCAGAGATTACTTAACCTTTCCAACTTTGAGTTCCTTTATCTGCAAGATGAAATTAAAACCACCTATCTCTTAGGGTGAATTTATACCATATGTTTTCTGCTACGGTACTGTGTTCATTTTCTTTATAGGACTTAACATTTATAATCATATATTCATTTCTCTATTTTGTTTACTGTATGTCGCATCTCAGGGCAGATTGCTTTTTCTGTAAATTTTTTAAAGTCTATGCTTAAATTGACGTATTCTTACTGAATTTCTTTGGAAAGCTTATTCCACTAAAATGACAGTTTCAATTTCTTCACTTTGCTTAAACCTCTTCCCTTCT